ACGTTTGTATAGACATGGGCTGTACGACATAAGCTTTAGCAAATGTTTAAGGCCGCATGTTCTATTTTTACGCTTTCTTGTTTAAGAAAATATTTTAATTTGAAATTTTTTGAAACAGTTAATTATAAATACTTTATCTAATTTTGATTATTTATTATAAAAAAGTTTTAAATTATCAGGTATATTTTTATAAAGAATTTTTAGTTACTATTTTTAACTCCTAATTACAGAAATATAAAATAAAAATTTTCAATTGAAACAATTTGTTAATAAAAGCTTTAAAAGCAACAACAATAAAAGTGGTCTCTGTAATATTTATAAAAACACTTTTAAATTTAAATAAATTTTTAAATATAATGTTTTAATAATTTTATTGTATATTAATGTAGATGAAAAATGTTAAATTATATAAAAAAGTTTTTAAATAGATGTAATTTATAAATAAGAAAATTTTGGGTTTGTTACTAATATATAATTTTATTAAACTTAAAATTAATTCTAAATCAATTATTAAAAAAAGAATTTTGTTTTTTATTTTAAAATATTTTTTAGAATATTTACATGATTTTATTTGATTCTAATTTTAAACAAAAAAGTTCTTCGAAAAATTTAAATTATTTTTAACCCCTATGCTTGACATAGACAGACAAGAAATAATTAATAAACAAAAGACCATGATGAAAGCTATATCGGATAAAAACAATGAAAACATAAACGAAAATGATATTGTTAAACATTTACAAGACTGTCTTGTTACATTGTTATCAGAATCTGAACGTAGTAAGTTTTTTCAGTTAAGCAATACAAAGACTGCTAAAATATTCAAAATATCATTAGATTATTTGATATATGGTAGTATTAAGAGAGAGGCATATGAAGATGGACTCTCAAAACATCTAAGTGATAACAAGGAGCTTAGAGACAAGTTTTTTTCTTTTAGAAGCGGAGCACACTTTCTAACAAGACTGTACAACGAAAAAAGATTTGATTTGTTAGAAAAGTATGAAATTCAAGATCTGGAAAAGAAGCTAGAAAATTACTATAAAAACAAGTCTATTGATTTTTATTCAATAATACATGATTTTCTCTCTAAGAGATTACCAGAAAATTACATGCTTTTAATTTCAGATTATTTTGTTATAAATTCTAACACTGAAAAGATGCTTAATGATTTAAAAAATTTAAATGATGGTAATTCTAATAAGACTAATTTTGAAATGGAGGAGATTAAGAAGTCTATTGATGATAGATGTAAGAAATCTCAGAGTAAAAAGAAAAACCAGCCACTGGTTGAAATAGCTAAGGGTTCTTTTGCCAAAGGTACGACATCTCTAAGTGATGATAGGAAGGATGATGAAAACAAACCCAGATTTAATGAATTAAAAGATGAATCAATTGATTCGAGCAAGGTTTTAACAGAGAAGATAAAATCTTTAAATCTTGAAGAGGATGTGAACACATCTTCTACTGAGTTTCTAGTGCTTGGATACCACAAGTTGCTATTGGAAGACATTGATAGTTTATTTGATCGTAAAATGAAGGTTTTTATTGAAAATATCCTTGAAAAGTATATTAAAGAATTTGCAAGTAAAAAGTTAGAAGGGTTTTTAAATGAGTTAAAGGTACAAATGTTGTGTGAAGTTAAAAGCCTTAAGAATTGTATTGTTCAACAGAATGATACTGTAATTATTAGGTTGTTAGGGAATAAAAAGCTCACAGGTGTGGAGATTGTTAGTGAGTTGTGTATGATGAACAAATCTGAGTTTATACAGGCAATTTTGGCTTGTAATAAACAAAATGAGGTTTATGAAAAGTTTGACAGTCATAATAGAGCAAATTTACTTAAGAAATTAATTCAATATATTCATGTAAAGCAATATTATGATATTTTATCAGATTGTGTAGAGAAATTGCTTTTTGATATTAATATTAATGAGATATTTAATGAACACATAGAACATCTTTATAAATACATTGATGTTCTTGAGTCATCTGATATGATTAAATCTCAGGATAATCCTGATTTAGTTTATTTACTGATTTTTACAAAGAAAAGATTAACTAAAAGAATTCAACAAATCTCAACAGTAAAGTTTGAAAAGAATTGTGAATAAATTTTATTTTAAAGTTGTTTTAATAAAAATATTTTAAAAATAAAAACAAGCTTGACGGGATTCGAACCCGTAATCTTCGGCTCCGTAGACCAACGCGATATCCATTACACCACAAGCTCTTTAAACTAATAAAATAAATGATATAAACGCTACAACAACCACTCAAATATCACATAACAATTTATTTATCCATTCTCTCATTAAGTAATTGCATTTCCTCATTTAATTCATCATCGCTACCATATTCATGTACCTTCACAATAAAATCTTTCACATGATCAGCAAATAACTCTTTGTTTTTTATACCAAACAACCCTCGGTAGAAGATTTCTTTACTATTTGATGTAACG